GACTGGAGGTATGCTGTGACCGAGTGGCAACTCATCTATCTATAATAAGACGCATTTTTTAGCAAGCCAACTTTTCTTTTGAAGAGATTTCCATGCCTCCGCCTTACATTCAAACAAAAAGTTTATTAGCCCTCTGACCAAGAGTTTAGTTTGTCGATTAACAACTTCTCTTTTTATAAAAATTATCTTCCGGTCTGAGATACCATCCAGATGCCTAAAGCAGCCTTTTTCTGTTGACGAAAGACTTTTGGTGTCAAACAGTTTCCAACCTTCTCCCAGTAGTTTTACTGTTTCAACTGATTTATATACATCGATGTAGGTTTCTTAGTGGATGATAGTTGGCAGTTTACGCAACAATTTTTCCACTCGTCCAAACATTCGGTCGGCAGGAAGAAAGCTGTTTCCACTTACCGGAAATGTAATTGTGATGTCTGTTACTTTGAACTTAGTTTTGATCAAGAAGAGCATAAGTGTATGCAAAACGAAATTGTTTTTATTTTGAGCACTACACACATCACAAAAAGTCTGATTGGTGTAACATTTTCAAGTAAATCAAGGCTTTGAAGGTGTTACAAAAAAGCTGAAGAGACCTCAGTAGAACCCTTTCCAGCTTCATCTTTTGTCCACATATAAAATGTCGGGTTATTTCGTCAATTCCAACAACACAGAAACAGTATGGTCAAATTTGCCTTCCGTAATATGCTTCTTGATTGGGTGATTTTGGTAACGGTTGAATCTGCTGGAAGTTAAAGCACATAGTGAGTGAATTCTTCTTTCTTCAGATTCTTCTTTTTTCAAAGCCTTAAGTCTGCTGCACGAATCGCGTGAACTCGCTTGTTGGTCATACACTCAATCTTCTTAGCTGGATCCTTTGTGGTTTTGATGAAATATTTCATTTTGTAGCAATAACTACACACATTAAACGCTGAGGAGCAAAATCCAAGATTAAAGGTTTGAAAAATTCTTCGAAACATCGTTTTTGATACTTTCTTCGAGATTTCATCTTGTAAATTATTATAAATTTTCCATACTTTTGTGATGTTCGTGTCCTGATCCAAATAGTTACGCCCTAATTTATTTCTAAAATAATGTGTTTATTTACCTCTTAACTTTTTTATGAAATCTCTTATACGCGCCTTTTTGCCAGCTGACTTCGCTGATTTGCGGTCGCCCCCCCCCTTTTCTCATTTAGATGTTTTCCCCTTACGAATACATTTTATAATGTTGCTTAATCTGGTAGGTTTAACTATCACCACTGACATAAAAACTTCTTACATACCTTGATAATTTTTGTATTTTGCTTAATCAAAGTGTACTCAACACAACAAGAGTTAGGCCGTGCCTCGTTGCTTGTATTTCATGGCCCTCTTCTTTTGATGTTTTAAATGGACACATGACTTGAAATGAAGTTGTTCTGAGCAGTTTTATTATGCACATATAGCAAGTTTTTCCTTACATGAGAACAATTACTGGGAGTAAAGCTTTTACACGACAACCTTTCCTAGAGGAAAGTGAGCACGGGTTGAGGGTATTGTAACCCTTTTCTTCTTTGCCAATTATTTTTTTTTATGGATTTATAGTCCTCTTCCCAGAGTCATCATTTCCATCTTCCACACTTACAAAAGAGTGGAAGTCAATAACTTCACTCAACATAATTAATATTAAATTAAATACTACTAGCTCTGCGACACAGTAACAATGAAGCTGAACAAAACATTGTAAAAACTCTTAACCTCAAACAACAGAGTATCATGGGAAGGGCGAATGCTGTCCTGTGATTGGCCGGTTGTGCCAAAATCTTTTCTGATTAACTACTTATGGTGGACAAAACTTGTTTTATTCCGCTACCTATATTTCGTATGTGAAAACCATAGGACAAAACAGTTTTTCATCAAACTTTTATTTACTAACATGTGGGGTTCAAAATAAGTTTTCAAATGACACCAAAATCTCAACATGTGATTTATTGTGACAAATCCTTTTTTGAACGCTACCTTCTCAAATTCTTATATAATATACTTTTGGGTTAATTTTCGTAAAAAAAATGCTTTGTCAAAATTTAAATGCTTATTTTCACGCTTTTTTTTGCAAAATAAAATGTTTTTTTCCTAACATTATTATGCTTTTTAAACTCTTTTTTCGGTTTTTCTTTATACTGTTAAATCCGAACTCTACACACAGTACTTTACCATGTAATGTGTTTTTTTTTAATTTGGATCGTTCTTTAAACTTTGTTAACTATTTTCTTTTCAAAAACTATTTTTATTTGATCAAAATAAAATTGCACGACGTTAGTTAAACAGTCTTTTTAAGAAAACTCGCCGAAACATCGCGAATATCTTATTCCAGGTACTTTAGTGCATTTCAGTCCGAAACTTAATTAAATCCTTAATTAAATTTATTTCAATTAAATACTTTATTTTTGTAAAAAAATATCCTGTAGTATATGTTATATATAATGATTTTTATATAGAAGAAATACAACTGGTTTCATAATCGCATGATTATTTCTCTGATTTAAATATATTTCCTATTGTAGTTTTTGCATACAAACTAAATACCTCATTATTATATAACACGTTTGTATACCGCTACTCGTTGCTGTGCATATTATGGTCAATGACTTTCAGGCAAATGTTCAAGAAGCTTTAGTGAGGTCAATAAGTCGAGTGGGAGTTGATTTTGAGGCCGTGATCAATGCAGGACTACCGCTAGGTTCGTAGAACCAAATTGCCTTTTCGATTTTTTCTCAGATTGAGAACATCTTCAGAATTCAAGATGCTTTTTAACATCACGACAGATTGTTACGGTTTTTTATAAGGTTTTTTATAAGGACAATAAGGTGTATTATGTTTGTGTATTGAATGTACAGGTAAAACATTTAATATGGTAGTAGTAACAGTGAAATTTAACAAAGTAATGTGCAAACAACCATTAATATTTTATTAATCTGTATTAATAAAATGTTCTGACTGAACTAACAACTATGTGAAAATTTTTCCTCTGGAAAACAATTGTCATTTTCTTTTTCCCAGATGAAAAATAAAACAATTTTAAAGACTAAAGAACTAAAAGTGTCCACTAAGCTTACTCATTTTCGTGATTGAATTCAACTAGATATATATATATATATATATATATATATATATATATATATATATATATATATAGTTGATTTTTTTTGGGTTTAGGTTCATAAAAAAAATTTATTTGATACTAAAACATTTTCATATATTTTTTCGACGTTTCGGCAGGAAATCCATGCCTTTTTCAAGAAATCATATTGTCTAAACAAAAAAAAACATTTTATGACAGACATAATACGGTTTAAAAGTTATACTTTTGACTTACCAAGCATGTAAAAATTCGTAACTAACAAGTAGACGTCACAATTAAAATAATATTAAAAACATAGGAACATACCCACTAAGTCACTACATGTATTTAAAATCTTATGTGTTGTTTATTGATGTTAGTTTATCGTTTAAACAATCAGTTATGTTAACATCATAGGCGTTCTGAGATTGTCTTTTTATGTGTTGCTAAATTAAGTTAAAATATATATTTTGTTCAAATTTTTGGCATCTTTTTTATCGTTTATTGCGTTATTATTTATTTTTTTTTTTGTATAGACTTTAGAAGCTCTCTCTTCTTCCTGTTGGGTTCACTTTTTAGGATCTTGGTTTTTTCAAAATCAAATTTATGTTTTTTTTGTCATATTTGTGGGAACGTATTCAGAACGTGGGAAAAAGGGAAAGACCCCGCCTTAGTTGGAGAGAAGTCATCAATAGAGAAATGCAAGACAGAGACATAGAAGAAGACTTATGGATGAATCGAGAGGAGAGTGGCAACTGGGTATCGGAAGACGTAGGAGAACGTTTTATCTATACATATATATATATATATATATATATATATAATATATATATATATATATATATATATATATATATATACATATATACATATATATATATATATATATATATATATATAATATATATATATATATATATCTATATATATATATATATATATATATATATATATATATATATATATAGCAAAACTAGTAAGATTATCGACTGAAACGTAAATAAAAATTTATTCTAGTGGTGTAACGGGTACACTGGCGTAACTGGACACCAAATTAATAGGAACTGAACAAAACAAAATATTGATAGATTGGTATCAAAAGCCAACAGATTCTGGAAGATATTTAAACTTTTTTTCAAATCATCCTACTCATCAAAAGTTTAATACAGTGATTGCAATGAAGAAGAGGGTAAGGCATATTAGTGATGATAAATTCATAAACGAAAAATTAAATTTGCTGTTAAACATCTTTGAAAATAATGGATACCCAAAACAAATCCTTAAAAAATTGATATTTAACTCAGACATTTTTGACGGTCCCACTGGGGACCATAACCATAATTTTAACCATATTTTATGCAGTTATATTTTTTAACTTTATGCAGTTCTTCAATCTATAGTTTTTCTGGTCCTTAGTCTTCATATATCTGTTATTCTTCTTGTCTGATGTCAATAAATAGTTCATTTATGAACGTATACCAAGTTGTCCGAGTTTCTTCTTCATTTATTATAATTTTCCTGCTGAGTCTATAATTAAATGAAGAGTTTTCTTATTTTAGAGGCCAGCTGTTCCTCTGCTTTTTCGAATATATTGAATTTGTCGTACTTGGATTCTGATCCTTCCATTTCAATGAATTTAGTAATTTATCACTCCATCTTTTTTATAAACATTCACCATAGAATTGCTAAAAGTTTAAAACTACATGATGGACGATTTATAAATTCAGATACGGATTTTTTAAATTGAAAATTGATTGTGCAATTTTATTGTAGTATTACAAACACATCATTAGTCATATAAACCAATAAATAAATTAGTGTTGGTGCATAAACGGGGACTAACCGTATTCAGTTGCGGTGTAGATAACTATTATAAGAAAAGTAAACCTCATAACAACAATATCATATTTTATTGGGTTTTGCCAGTGTCAACAATGATTAATAGCAGATATCCCTGGACTGTGTGTGTAGTGTTAACACTATTTTATCAAACAAATTGTAAGTGTTTTTTCAAAATATTTAGTTTTTGTGTATGAAAAATACATCTATTTTTTTATTTATAGATCTAAGCAGCGTTTATTTTGAGCCTTCTTCTTTTTGTCTGGTTTTCTATAATCTCAAGTATACTCTGTTTTTTTTTTCATATTTTTTTTGTAATTATTGAAAAAATGCACTACTTGTTTTATATACATATAAAATGTAGTTTGTCCACTGTTCCAGTGTTAATAATTTGTCGTTTTACATTTTCTTTTCTTTTTGTCTCGTCTCTCGAACAATTTCATTAGTGCTAAGCTTTGGATATTTCATATATTGATGAACTTTATGAAACTAAATGAATACTAAAATAAACATTATTTTTTATGGCAAAGGTCGGTCTTGTTTAAAAACTATTTCTGTTCCCCTATAATGAAAACGCATACATTCCTTACATGTTTCCTAATATGTTATTACTTTAGTCGGAAACACCATTATTATGCCGTAAAATAGTTTCGAAACACAATTCAGATTTCCGCTTTAATCTGTGCTTTATAAAAATTGCAAAGCAAAACAGACGTTGATAAAGGTGTTAAAAGAGAAGTAGGGAATCTAAAATTTGCATTCCACGACACGTCTTTTCAACTAAGCAGAAATCCTTAGCGAATTGGTTTCTTGTACTCGTACAGAGTAAATCCGAATAAAGTGAAAAAGACAGCAAATATTTGATTTCACGCAAACAGCGCCTTTGTATCTGTTGATACGTATTTCACGAATTGTGTTTCGAAACTAGTTTACGGTTTTACTGTCAGATGTCGGCTATTGCGTCCGTATCGAAGCCATTTTAGTGTTGCTTCTTAAAAGACAGAAAATATTGATCTTTCTCGTTGAGAACACCTTTGAATAACTGTTCTGATGAGACCTATTAGGTCGAAATACGTATCAACAGATACAAAGGCCCTGTTTGCGTGAAATCAAAAGTTTGCTGTCTTTTTCACCATTATTATGCTTAACGATGAAAAGGTACTTTTTAAATAAGAAATCAAATAAGAAATCACAAATACCTCATTTTAACAAAAAAATGCAGATGACTCCTTGTTGCAACAAAGTCTTCGACTTATTATTTTAGTTCTTTTTTTGTGCAAATGAAATTTCTCTAAACTACACTTTAATATTTTTTTTCTCAAAAGCATAATCTGTCTCAATAGGTGAATGTCCTAAAATATATACTCGTAATGAATGGAACGCTCGAGAAGCAATAAGCGTCAGACCGTTAAAAGAAGATCCTCCACCGTATGTGGTGGTCCATCATTCGGCAACTCGCTCATGTTTTTCAGTTGAAAATTGTACAAAGCTTGTAAGAAGTATACAAAATTATCATATGGATAACAATGAATGGGAGGATATTGGTTACAACTTTTTGGTAAGTGAATGAAAATAATTGTGTCTCTTTTAAGGCAGTACTTGTTATCATAATCTTTATCATCATTATAATTATCAATAACTAACGTCTTTAGAACTATTATGAAGATAACTGATGGATTCGACACAGTTACTTGATGAAGATTCATTTTATAAAATAAAATAAAACACTGAAAAATTTGTTTTCACAACTTTCATAAAATATTTTATAGGACACGACTATATATAATTCATCATACCATCCTACACAACGTTACATAGATTAATAGAAATTCGGATATCAAAATACAACTTTGAGACAGAATTAAATATCATTAAGCAAATAGCAGTAAACAATGGGTACTAAAAATATTTTAAATCAAAAACTCCACAAGAAAGCCCCGAAATTAGTATTTCCACTACCAGAGAAAAACCCAGTACTTTCTGCTCGATTATATATACAGACAAAATAGCAACAAAAATAGCCAAACACATAAAACAGAAAGGAATAACACCAGCTTTTAGAACAAAGGCTATTTTTTAACATAGCATAACATAACTATTTTTTAATCTTGATCAAGGTGTACCGCAAGGCTCCGTATTGGGACCCTTAATATTTCTTTTATATGTCAATGATTTGATGAATTTTTTAACTGCCGACCATACAGTTCTTTATGTAGATGATTCAACAATTGTAGTTGACGAGTCAACTGAAGTCGAACTCATATCAAAAATGAACTTAGTAGCACAGGAATTTACAACCTGGTGTAAAAGGAACTCTTTAACGGTAAATACAAAGAAAACTATTTGTATGCAGTTCTACTCGCGCTGTAAGCCATCCCATGGTTATAAAATCACAGTTAGTTCTGAGGAAATACCTTTTAGTGACACAACATTATTTCTTGGTAGCCTTCTAGAAAATAATATGACATGGGATGAAAATGTCACTAAAGTTTGCAAAACAATTAATAAGGGTTACTCTGCGATCCTTCAGTTGAAAACTCTATTTAACACCAATCACTTGATAAATGTGTATTATGCACTGGTTTATTCATATATGGCCTATAATGTTGTCTTGTGGGGAAACTCTAAAAACTCTTCTGAAGTTTTTCTAACTCAAAAAAGAATTCTTAGATTGATATTCAATATTGATAGTAGACAATTATGCCGTAAATATTTTATCATTCTTATTATTTTATCAATTTTATCAAAATTATTATTTTATCAATAAACAACAATCTTTTAGATTGGAGGTGATGGAACTATCTTCGAAGGTAGAGGATATGGTTTACATGGTGCGCATTCTATTCCATATAATAGAAGAAGTTTAGGAGTTTGCCTTTTGGGAAATTTTAAAAGTAAGAAAACGTTTTCAAATTAAGCTAACACTATATATAGCATATAAGATTTCATTATTTTTTGGTATATATCATAATCGAAGACTACTGATATTTTCAGGTAATATCACCAATTTATGTCAATATGTAATTATGTAACTTTCGTAATTGTCAAATTACAACTGTCAATTGTCAAAATTATCTGTCAAAGCATGTCTTGAGCTAAAATAGTAGATTTCGGCAACAGTATACAGAGGAACTAACAAATTGGGAAGTAGTCCAGAAGTATCCCGATATTTTAGTTTAAATTTTCTAATGGTAAACGAGTCCACCCGCATAGCTATTTGCGGATACAGCCATGGGCGTATCAGCAACAGAAGTGAAGAGATTAAAAATTATTTAATATTTTAATTAAAAAAAAATGTTACAGAGTTTGAAATTTAATGGAAATCCAGATTCGTATTAATCATAAATTACTATTAATTACAAGATACAAAAAAGAACATGATTCCCCAAAGACATGCAGCAAGACTTACATGGAGCATAAATAAATCTTTGGAAAACCCTTTAACATAATAAAATCTTTAAAAAAGTGAAAAAAAGTGGATAATTTATATAAAAAAAATGTATAATGGGTAGTACTGTTCTTTCAGAAGCAAGAGAAGACGGGGATGATGATGATAATATGGAAATCATAAAGCAAGAAGTTAAGCATAGCCTATGTAAATTTTATTATAATACAGAAAAGGCGTAAGAGGTGCCCAACAGAGATGAAGAGAAGCACAGAACAACTTAAAAAGAAATTGTCGGAAATAAGAGCAGTGGCGGGCAAACAGTGGACGTGACTAACATTCAGGAATGTATAGATAAAGGTTGACAAAGAGGGCGAGATGTATCCAGATATCGTCATCAGAAAAAAATTAACTATAGGAGCAATGCAACCAATTTGTGGCAATAATGTCAGAAGGCTCTGAGATATCAGAGCAACAACTACCACATGAACCACATCTACAGAGAGCTACAGCTATCTGAGAAAAAGAATATCAAAATAGCAAAAGAAATTATACGATTTCCTACCTGGCGAAACTGAATTCAAATTTTTACCACTGTGCCTTCTACAACTTGCAAAGCAAATAGCTTGATAAATTACTCGGCAAGGGACTATAAAAAATGCATTCCACCTGCTGTTCATCACGGTCAATATTCGTAGTGAATTCCGTTTCTGGTACTCCAAACAGAGTAAATAAATAAAACATAATAACGGTATTAGTGTCCTTAAATAGTTATTTCGATAATTATTGGCCTACTACAACGGGATAGATTTTGTTTCGATTCAGAGCAGTGGCATATACCGCTCTGATGAGACCTAAAGAGGTCGAAATACGTATAAGGGGCTTGCCGCTGCCCTGTATCGAAACAAAAATCTAATACCGTCACTATGTTTTATGTAATATCAAAATATTTAGAACGTTGAAAAGGAAAAAAATATATCTCTAGGAAATAAAACCAACTGAGGTAAATAGTACTGTCATAGCTCGCTATAAAGAAAAAAACAAAGATATAAAAGGTGGAACGCAACCGTAAATACGTATTTCTGACTCGTTGGTCCTTATCAGTATCTTGCAGCTAATTTACGGAAAAACACTAACTTGGGAAATATTTATTACAGGAGTGATGCAGCTAATCTGCGGCGCACCAATATCAGAATATTCATACTTGATAGTGAGAGATTGGTTAGTAAAGAAAAAGACTACTAGTTAAAATTGTTACTGAAAATGTTTTATGGATATCTTTTTTAGTAGAAAACCAATTGTTATCTTGTTATCAAAAATTTATTGTATTTAAACTAAAAATATTTTGACATATTTCTTAAACATTGTATCCTTTTTGCTAAGGTACACTAATACATGTTGTACAAATGGACACAATTTTAGAATACTCTATTACAATGAATCTTACACTCTATACAAACTAAACAGTAATTAATTATTGTATTTCAGATACAAATCCTCCTAACGTACAATTGAAAGCATTGGAAGATTTTTTGTCTTGTGCAGCAGCTGATAATAAAATTACTGCAGATTATCACCTTATCGGACATCGACAAGCTGATAATACAGAATGTCCTGGGGGGCGACTGTATGCAATTATTGAAAAATGGACTCATTTTGAATCCAATCCACAAGATGCTTCCCAAAAGAAACTGTAAACACAACAAAATTATTTTTTTAATTGAATAAATACCTCTGTGTCGCAATGTTTTTAGACTGTAATTATTAAACGATGTAAAAATTCAAAAGGCTTTTATAAACTCGTACTTTAGGAACGTGTAAAAAATAAACCACTATCGTCTTGATTTTACTGTTTTAATGATTTTTATACTTATTTTCAATACAACATTCTGTATCATATTATATGAGTGCATCCCTCTGATATGAAAGAATCATCAAGTGAAAAAAGTACAGGTATTTTATTATTATTATAATCGTTTGCAAGAAACTAATACACTTTGTTTTAGGTGAAAATGAAAATGTATTGGTGATTGATGAGAATTTACAAAGTAATTTTCAGTCTAACGATATTGCGAATTATGGAGAAATTTTAAGAAGTAGAATTTCAATGGCAACGTAATATAAAAAAAATACGAAATAGTGGATGTGAGTAAGTATACAAACAGTTTGATGTATCCGACTATCGTTGTTTTAAAGAATGCCATAAACTCATTACTCTTCAAAAGCATGAAACTATTTTTAAAGACTTTTATGAACTTGACATTTATTATTTACAGACATCTTACTTATGTAGCCAAAACATACTTACTTCAAAATTAACCAATACTGCTCAAAGTGACTCCAAAAAATACACAAGACAATATTATTTGACAAGAGAAACAGGGCTAGATATTCCAGTTTGCAAGGAGTTTTTTAAAAAAGTTTCAGATGGTCAACTTACACGTGCTTTGCGTAATAAAGAGCAAAGTGGTACATCTTCTAAGGAAAAAAAGAGGAAAAAAGAACCCTCATAATAAAACAAGTCAGAAGAAACTTGACAATATTTTTTATTTTGTTTTGAGGTTCCCAAAATATCAGTCACATTATTCCAAAAAAAATCCCAATCTTTGTTATTTAGCTCCCACTTTAAATCTGTCAACTATGTATTCCTTATACAAGCAAGAAACAAATGTTCCTGCGTCACCATTTGTTTTTAGGAATGTTTTCAGAGAAAAATTTAATTGAACTCTTCATGCGCCTGTATCTGACAGTTGTAGAAGATATGTAGAATTTGAACAAAAAATAAAAACAGAAACTTCTGAAGTTAGGTACTTTGGCAAGTTTAAAGTTAGAAAAAGAATTGCATATTCGAAAGCCAGAAAGCTCACATGTTGGGATGGCATTGGATTCGGAATTGGGTAAAATAACTGAAAATGATGTCACTGTAATAGAGTTTGATCTCATGTCTACATTACCTACACCTCATCTCTCAACTGGGGTATGTTACTACAAAAGATAGTTTTGAACATACTGCTTAGGTATCCACAACTTGTTAAGTAATCAGACCCCCATGTACGTTTGGCCTGAAGCCATAGCATCTAGAGGACCTCAAGGGATTGGATATAGTATACAGCATTATGTCAAAATCTATGTTCAAAACACATCAAAATTAAGTATGTATAGTGACCAATGCGGAGGGCAAAATAAGAACATTAAATATCTCTATTTTGTAATTTCTTCTTCTTCTTAATGCGCCTATTTGTTGCGAATGTTGGCGATCATCATGGCAATATTTATCTTATCTGTAGCAGCGCGAAAAAGCTGCACAGCTGTTGTATTGAACCAGATTCTGAGTTTTTTCAACCAAGATGTTCTTCTTCTTCCTGGACCTCGTTTTTCAATTTTGTAATTACATTATACAAAACAAGATATCAAGAGTGCAGCAAATTGACCATAAATTTTTGGTGTCGGGGCAATTATATTTAGCTTTTGACCGTGTGATCACAGAGAAGAAGAAGAAAACTGTTAATTATATTTATGTTCCCGTAGATTGGACCAGAGTGATTAGGACAGCCAAAAAACAAAAACCATTCGCAGCAGTAGAAATGACCAGCAACGATTTCGTAAGTAGTGTTCCATTAGACAAAACTATTACTAATCGTAAAAAGACTGTAGAGGGTGAATCGGTGAACTAGTTAAAAATACAATGATTGTGATACTCTTTAACTGAAGCACTATAATTTTATTATAAATAATCTAACAATCCGGAGGTTATTTTTAAACATATAGGCATTACGAAGCGCAATATATCTACCTTTATTGGAAAACTGACACTTTTATACCCAAAAGGTAGAGACGTTGAAGCAGCTAAATTAAACAATTTACAAGATTTGTTAGTGTATGTACTACCTTATTTACATAACTTTCATAACACTCTACTAAATGTTAAAAATTTAGATCAACGTATACAAAATAATAATGATGGAGAAAATAATGTGTTTTACGCTATAGAAGATTCCGAACAAATGATATAAAATGGAATAAATGGAATGGAAATGGAATAAATGTTTATAAAAAAAATTAGTTAAGGACATTGTTTTGGCTTTTGTTCATTTTTTGTGTACAAGTATAGTAAAAATATATTTTATGCAAAAACGCACTTTATTTTTTTTATTTATATAATAATATAAGTGGCCTACAATTTTTTTTTCCAATAAGATTTTGAAAATTTTACTTTTTTGTAATATTATTGTAAAATGAAATTTACTAACTTAATTTAAGGTGTTAAAATTGAAAACTAAGTTTAATAATTCTTGGAGAAGCAGAGAGCGATCAAATTGAATAATTTTTAAATCGCCTTTTTCTCAAAATCAATTTTTAATAGTTAGGCCACTCTTGCACTATGCGCCTCATATAAAAACACGAAAGAATAAATGGATTCCCACAGAAAACAACGAAGTGTGTTTGAAGACACACTAACCAGAGATACACCAGAATTAGAAAAAGAAATAAAAGATATTGAACACGCAAATAACGACTATGTCACTATAAGACAGTTATATCAAGACAGCTATATCATATTCTTTATTTCATTTATAAACAAAAAATGTTTGGAAAAAACGGTTATTAATAAATTTTCTGGCAGTAATAAAATCGACCACTTTTACCCGTCAGACAGAACAATCGGAAAATAATTTGCGTTAAACAATATAAAAAGTTGTTTTTGCTGCTGTGAGTAAAAGTATTCAATTACAAAACGATTAAAATTAACAAATGAAAATAGGTGTAGCACTGCTTCAATCAGTCTTGCCTCTCTTATATGGTTCAAAATCCGCGGTCGGCCACTTTTACGCAAGTTAACACATGGTATCCCTTCTTCACATGTTCTGATTGTGCGATAAATTGTCGATTTGCTTATGTTTTAATCTCGATAAATATTAACAATATCTCGTTTCGACATTTGCCCAACCATATTATAAACACCTTGACGAATATCAATTTTATAAGATATATTGCAGAACACAAACCAAAATATTCTGCTTTGTTTATTAAATGTCAATAACTAATGATATTTCAATTCCATGGTCTTCTTTGTTAAATGCATTTTGCTTCTCAATCAGACCAGGTGAGAAATTTTTCCCAAAACTTTAGGACCATACGTTATCTTTTACGGAAAATCGTTTCCCATTAAGGACTATAGAGCTACAAAGAAGTTCGAATTGGAAAATATATGTTAAACATTGAGACACATGGAAAACATATACATAAAATATTTTTATGCAGCATTTTTAAACCAATAAATATAAAATCCTTTTAAGGTCTTGATTTTAAAGCACAATGTATAAAACAGTAATTCAAATTTATAAAAAAATAAGACGAAGAAAGTGATTACGCATTTTTATAATATTTAAATAATACCGTTATCGTCTTCTCGAGTGTTTTGTCAAAACTACATATATCTAAGTTGTTGACAATTTTTTTTTCCTTATTATCAAATATGTACACAGTAAAATAAAGATGAGCAAGGTTCACTATGATATTCGCTGTGAAATTTGCAGAAAGATTATTCTACATAGTGTTTATAATTTATATAATTCCATAGCGTAATATAACTGCGATTTGAAAGTATATTACAAAACTTAATATACCCTAAAACAACAAGTTAAATTTCAGAAAAAGATTTAAAGCATATACGAGAAATAACTTAATAACGTGGTAATAATATAATGATTTTATTAGTCCTAATTTATTGTCTTTATTCTAATTTATTGTCTTTATTCTAATTTATTAAAACTCACAATAATTTATCAAAAGTCTTTATTTTATACTAATTTATTTTACACTTAATAATTACAAAGAATTTATTTACGTTCGATACAATGTTAACCCGATATCCCCGGTCTTCTTGTTGACTAACTGCTCAATGAAAATCTTCCGTTATTTATATGAAACCAGCTGGTAAACAAAATGTTGTAGAAAATACGATGCCGTTCTCGACGTAGACAGAGCGGCGACTGGTCTCAAAACTGGTATGTTTTTCATCGGCTCGTCCCCAGAAAGTTCGATTGTTGTTTTAGCGAAGGGGACCCAAAGGATGTCAGGTAGATTTTTGACCTAGAAATTACAAGAATCAATACAAAAGAATTAGTCATAAAATATTTACAGTTTTATACGCCATAACATTTAAAATCGTAACAATAGAATAGCCAACTTTAGAACCATAGACCAACGTTGGAACGCCACAATACAAAGGTTGAAGACCTTACAAAGGACATAAAAAGAATAAATTGATATAATGTTGAATGCTCGAATAAATAAACTTTTATCAAATGAAAAGGCAGAGATCGAGCACAGTTTATTATTAATTAAATATTGCCCAAGTACTTTCGCTTCCTAGATCATCTCCAGGGGCATCTGAAATAGGCCAAGAGAAACGTTTTTTTTTTTATGAAAAAAAGTAAAAATAAGGAAATCTAACTATGAAATTAAAATACTAAAATTAAAAATCAAAATTGAAAGCAAAGTATATAAGTGGGGTATAATCCAAGTAGTTCAGTTAAACCCACAGTAAATGAAAGAACCATAAAATTAAAATGTCAAAGCATTACTCAAGACCAACTAATCAACAGTGGGAGATATTGAAATATACAACTATGGAGATGGTATATCTAAATTACGCAGAGTACTGAGTAATTAACGCCAACTGAACCTAATCAATTGAACCTGAGCAAGCTAGTTTTATAAATTATTGAAGAATAAAATAGTAGTGTTAATCAAAGTGTGAAATTAATAAATTCTTAATGG